ACTGATAAATCTAACTACGTAGTTAACCTATGTAAAGAACTGAACAAATAAAGTTCGTAAAGTAATTCAATATCATTGTGATACTACTTAAAAATGTATTAAATAATAATATATTAGTTAAGCGAACCTGATAGTAGAAGGTAGTACAATGACAATAAATGCTACGCAGTATCGAAATTCACATCTGTTAAAAGAATCTTGACGCTATGATTTCCGCCATGATGGCATGTCCCACCTAGTTTTCCTCTGGCCGCTTTCCTATTGGCTGACGTAAACGTCAGTAGAGGGCGGCCACTTACATTCTCTAGCTTATTTGCAGCGCGCAAAATTAAAATATTTCACGCGCGTCATTCAGAACTCAGTCAATCAATTTCGACAGTTTCAGGCGAAATAATTACAAAGAATTTAGAGAGTTTTACAGGTTATAAATCATAGACAAACACTGTGTTACGTATGAGAAAAGTTGGATGTGGATATAGATACATAGCTTGAAAGAAAATTTGAAATAAATTCTATCGTCTCAGTTATTCTGCTTCCGGTCTATCAAAAACTGCACAGAAGCTTTCGATAAATCAGATCGCGAGAAATTAGTAGCATTACAGTTTTTAATCACTTTCAAATTACTGTTTTAAATCATTATATTTCTTTATTAATGAAGTTTCTACTACTTTCAATTCAATAAATAATTCTAAACAGATCTAGCAACACTCCACATTTTTTTGATTTTAATTTTTGATCACTAGTGGCGCTGCGGTGCAAAACCTGCCTAAATTGGTACGACAGGATGTGATACAAAAATGGTAAAGAGGTCCTAGAACGCCGAAATCGTAGGACAAAAAAATCCATTGTATGCTAGATCTATTCATATATTTCGTCTGTATCTGTGATACAGTTCTCCAATTCATTGTTGTTTGAGCGTATAATGCGCTAAAAAAAAACAGTGATTTTTTCTAGTCAGTATTTCAAACTCTAAGACACGAAGCTCCATTTAATGTCCGATCTATCCTATCCTTAGTCAATGGTTTCATACAGTATCGTATCACCTAAATGTATAATGGCTCAAAAAAGAAAAACAATCCAACTATCCAAAAAATTCAATCTTTCAAATTTTGTAAATGAAGATGATGGTAGTGGAGGAAATGTAGTGTCTGTTTCTAAGCGAAAGAAACAAGACGTTTTGGACATTTCTGATAATGAAACTGACAGTCCGCAAGTTCTCCTTCATTGTCACTCATCAAGTGCATCAACAATTGCTGATTTATCAAGTGCTTCAACATCTATAATCACTAACGATGAGATACATAAAAAACATGATTCATTTCATTTTATTGAAAACACTGGACCACTGTGTTCTTTGACTCGCGAAGCTAAACCTATTGAATATTTCGATCTATTTTTCGATTCATCCCTTTTAACATTGATGGTTCGCGAAACCAATAGATACGCAGATGAATTATTACAATTACAATTACGTGAAACTGACGGAAAATCTGGAATGACAATGTGGAAACCAATTACTGCGCTAGAAATGAAAGCATTTATAGCAGTTTTATTGGAAATAAAATGGGCATAACGAAACGGCCAACAATATTTTCATATTGGGCCGAAAATTCAAGAAACATACCTTGATTTTCAAAAATGTTCTCGCGGAATAGATTCCAGCTTATTTTAAGATTTTTCCATTTAGTAAATAATAAAGAATGTTACCCACCGGAACATGAAAAATATGATCCATGCGCAAAATTCATTCCTATCGTTGAACACGCGAACAGAATATTTAAATTGTATTACAAGCCACATAAAGAGTTATCTATTGAGGAATCTTTGATAGGGACCATTTGCCATCAAGCATCAATCGTCAACATTTACCGAATAATAAGGACCAATGGGATATAAAATTTTGGATCCTTTGCGATGCGTCATCCAAGTATTGCCTACGTTTTTATTGGTATCGGAGTGCGCAAGCAAAAACTGATAATACTAAATCACAAAAACATAAACTTGGGCATGATATTGTTGTAAATTTATTAGAGCAATGCGGTTATTTAAATAAGGGATATCATGTATTTGTCAGAAATTATTTCAGTAGTATTGCTTTAGCTAAATATTTATATTCCAAAGATACGTACCTAACAGGAAATATAAGAAACAATAGGAAAGATTTACCTAATGATATAAAGAAAATTAATCTTAATGAAACAAAGTATGTTCGAGATGGAGAAGTAATTTTGTGTGGATACCGTGAAAAAAAAAACGACAAAAAATCCCTCATTGTTAATTTCGACAAAAGCGTCGGATGAAAATGTAACTATAATTAAAAAACGAAATGGAAATGAAAAACCATGCATTGTTAATTTTTATAATTATTTTACGGGGGGAATTGATGAATCTGATAAAATGTTATACATCTATCTTGATGAACAGCGAACTGTAAAATATTGGAAAAAAGTTATATTCAACATAATTTCCCGCATGGTGTTAAATTCATATCTACTTTATAAAGAAATCGTTAGAAAAAAAGCAATGACACGATTAGAATTTATATCAAATATTATTTCTGAGATAGAATGTGAATGGATGCAAGAAAGGAAACAGCAACTTATCAATACTGATAAAAGAACGTTTGGTTTAATGAAATTACCAGGACGAAATTTAAGACAATGCGTGGTTTGTAGCAATAAAGATAATGGAATAAAAAGATCAAATTTAATTTGTGTACAGTGCAAGAAAGGAATTCATCCATTATGTCTTGATAAACATATATGTTTCAAAAGTAATAGTAAATGTTAATAATTGTGTTTTTTAAGTCTATTATATACATACAATATATATTTTATATTGTTCTTTCGAAAATGTTGGCAGCATATTTTCACTACATAAAAGTGTATATAAATAAGAGTAGATAAAGTAAAAATTGTTTACTTGTATATGTACTTTAATTGAAAAGAAAATAATTAGGAACATGACTCAAGACGTGTTGTAACCGAATCTGAGTGCACTGCAAATTGAGCATCACGATTAAATGCTATAGTATTTTTTGATACGAAATCTCAATAGCGAACGTAGTGCATGACATTAAAATGGTTAATATAGACAAACGTTTTTCAATCTATTTTATTTGCCAAACCATTAAAAGTTGAGGAAGATCCGGCAAAAATACATACGAAATTCACTACATCGCATATTGTATTCATCATCTTATATACATTGTAAATTAATACAATATCTTACAGATAAAAATACACCAGCACTTCTAGTTGCATTTTTCATGATTCATAATATGTAGAACGTAGTTTACTAGTATTAAATATACCTTTAATTTAATTGGATATTGCTGCCTTGCGCTGTTTAATACGTGCTTCTATTTCTGGTCTAAAATGCCTAATTAATCCCTGAACTGGCCATGCTGCACCATCCGCTAGAGCGCAAATTGTATGCAACTCAATCTGTTTGGTTAACTCCCACAGCATATCTATTTCGTGTATTTCTGCTTGGCCTTGGACAAATCTACACATGATTTTTTATATATAATTTACTCTTTTAAATTATATAGATTATAAAGATGAAAAGAGCAAATAAAACAATGCTTCTACCTTCTCATTATTTTGTACATCCAACTTATTCCTTCACGGCACGGAGTGCATTGACCACAAGATTCATGCTTATAAAAACTGATGAGACGAGTAATAGCTTTAATAATATCGGTCTGTTTATTCATGACTATCACTGCTGCAGTGCCAAAGGAGCTTTGTACTCTGACAAGAT